ATTTCTCCATAAGACTGAATGGTATCTGTTTTTATTGCCCCCTGCTGGACATTACATAGAATGCAGGTTTAAGACACTTCACAGACCTGGAAGCTCTGTCCATTATATATCTGTAAATGGTTAGGTTGGGTTATTCGCTCTAGCTTTAAAAGATATATTTTGCTTTCTGTGGTTATTTTCATTGATCTCTTGTAATAGAGAATGTTCTCTAGCACTAAACCCAAAATTACAGCTGACGGCTGATGGGAATTTCATGAACTAAAGTATTGATCAAACTGAAATTCTGACCTCATGGTAGCACTTAGATGGAAAATACAGTGATCATTAAATATATACTCTGGTGACAGCAACCATCCAGTAGTCGTCAAGACTTAAAACCTTAAATATCAACCTCATGGTGGTGCTGGAGGAATGAAAAATCTTTCAAATTCATCCTCTCAGGTCCATGAATGTCTGTAAGAGAACATATTCATCAGTAGAGGCATTAAGACTGTAAAAAGAACATCTCTTACACATAAGAGTGAAAGATTAACTGATAAATGGGAAAAAAAACAACAAATAATGAATCAATGATGAAAATAATTGTAATTTGCAGCCATGAAAAACATCAGTGAGCGTAACAGTATGTGAATAAAAACAGCGAAACAATGAACTTCTTTCATAAAAACATTTCATATTGTGATTGCATCTTTTTCCCCCGCCACAGTGATGGATGACCTTCGGCCGTCTGAACTGTTTCCTGTAAACTGAACGAGCTCGTAGTCGTTTAAGCCCAAACTGATTTTTTAAAACATATGTTGTGTCACGTGCGCAGTCGCAGCAGTCAGACTGAACGTTTAAAACAAAAATAAATCAGGAAGCAGCGCAGTTGTTTTCCTAATGGGAGATAATAGAGGTCTGATTGTAATGTGCAGCAGCAGCAGCGATCTGATGTGGGAAAACTGGACGAAAGCTGATGACAGAGATCATATCTGCTGGGAAAAAACCAGCCATGCTGCGCTCTCTTTCTCTTTCTTCTACTTTTCTGCCTTTTTCTTTGTGTCTCTTTTTCAAATCTTTAGTTTTATTTATTTTATTTCACTCCCAACTCATCAAAATACTTGACCTCTGCCCCGTAGGTGCCCTATAGCGTCTATTTCCATTCATTGTCTATGTGAGGATGGAGCTGCTCCTCATTTGCATAAAGCAGCGGTCTAAGGTAACTTATGTAACGTATTTAAGTTACATAGAACATTCACTTTATTTTGAAACTCTATAATTATTGCTGTTGTTCTATTTTCTTTCTAAATTCGACCATTATTTCATTAACTTTCTCTATCGCTCTCACTTAATCCTCATCTCTGTCTTCTCTTTTCCTCCTCCTCATCTTTCCTTTGTTCCTCTTGTGGTTTTAATGTCTTTCACTTTCATTTTTACTTTCTTTCTCTTTCTGTATTTCTGCTTCAAAATCACAATTTAATTCTTTGTCTTCTTTGTGTCCTCATTCCCTCCATCTCCTCTGCCAGTTCCTCTTGTCCTTTTTCCTCCCTCCTTCATCATTTCCTTCCTGAAGATATTCCTGCTCTATCTTCTTTCTTTTCTGTCGAAATTCCTACATTATTTTGGTCCTGTGTTTTAATTGAATTGTGATTTTTATCTCCTCCTTCATCTTTCTTTCTTTCTCTTCTCCAATTGCTCTCGCTTCTCAACCTTTCTCTCCTTCCATACTTCACGTTTTTGTTTGTCCTCTTAGTTTTATTTAATTGTGATTTAATTTCCTCTTTCTTTTCTCCTTCATCTTCTTCCTCACCCTCATCTTCTTTTCCGTCCTTATTTTCTTTCCTACTCTCCATCCCTCCTTGTCCACTCCATCCCTCCTCGTCCCTGCAGTACTGGAGGGAGCAGCGGAGCACCAATGGTTAATCACCTGCTTCAATTACATCCACTTACAGCGGGACTCTGTTTCACACCCGCAGTCAGCCTCGAGAGGCTCACACACACACAAACAGAAACAGAGAGTGCACATGAGGCCACGAAGGTGCACAAACACACACATCTCTCCCACCTGCTGTGTAACACCTTTATTTTGTCTTTCACTGATATTGTTTAACAGTCAGCTGTTACTCTCAGTGCTCCAATCACAGCTAAGCAAAAACTCCTCGGACAAGTTTCCTGGACTGTGTACAAACCTGTGTCTAATCAGATCTAGAAGATTACTAACAGATGCGTTTGATTGATCTCATACTGAACCTTAATCTTCATCATTTCAACATTCCGACTCCTATAAATTACTTTTATACACCCCTTAATGTGCAACAGCAAATATGACTTCACAGACGGCAATGTCGGCCTGTCAGATGGTCGGTGCGCCACTTTGTTCCAGACTGAAATATCTCAACAACTATTGGATGAATTACAGTTAAACAGATATTCAGGATCCACAGAGGATGAATCCTGAAGACTTCAGTGAAAGGAGATTGTAGTATGTAACATTTACGCAATAAAATGCATTAAGTGTTCCCAAATGTTTCCAACGATCTTCAAACTCAGAAAAATCTGTCATTTTATTCAGGTAACGCTGCGTTTCACCGATCACCTGTCAAAGTCAATATCCTTGCATGTAGTTGTTGGCCAGAAGCTGCAATAAGTTTATTTTTTATACAGTTTGAAGCCACATTTTTCCCACACATCTTTTAGATCTTGTCGCTTTTTAACCCCTTTTTTAGTAAAGAATGTCGGGCAGGCAACAACAGCATCGGAAAAATACCCTGAACAACGAACACTACTTCACAACATCAACAAACTTTCTAGTCTTTCAGTATTTTGTTATTGTTTTGCTGTGAGAGACCCCTAGTAGGCAGAAATTACATATTGCACATTAAAAAGTCTCTTACCAGTTTCAGGGGAAGCACACACAAAGCAAACAGAATGGGACCAAGGATCGAACCTTGAGTAACACCGCAAAACAGATTTTCAGTCTGAAAAATGTCAGTCTACATTCGTCACATTTCTGTGACGGACAGTAAGATATTAGACCTCATGGGTATTACAGGGGTCGAAATCTGTGTTTGCTCCCAAGTTGCAGCCGTTGCTTCACAAAAAGCCATAATTAAAAAATGGTGTCTCTCTTTTCTCTGCGTTATCATTATCATCTGCACACCTTGTCTTCAGCGGCCTCCACGTTTACTTCTGTATAACAGCGTGCTGCATGTGGCATCTAGGGGCATGTCCAGACTTTTTTATGACTTTTTTTCTTGGGGGGGGCACAAGTGGGGTGCTGACTTATACAGGGGTGGCAGTATGTGTTAAGTTAAGTATGTGTCTCAGCTTTCCAGTCATTCCAAATTTATGCAATTCCAACACTGTTTATGAACCACAGTATGCCGAAATATTCCAATACACAAGGCGAAAAAATAACACATTTATACCACATGCAAGAAACTGCGTGAGATTAGCATAAAGTGTCTGCAATGGGGAGACTCATGAGTACCCATAGGACCCGTTTTCATTCAGATATCCTGAGGTCAGAAGTCAAGGGATCCCTTTGAAAATGGCCATGCCGGTTTTTCCTTAGCCAAAATTGAGCCTAACTTTGCAGCGTTATTTAACCCCCTTCCCGACATTCTAGTATGACATAGTTGGTACCAATGGATGCATCAGTCCATTTAGTTTCATATGATATCAGTACATTTACTCTAACTTTAAAAGGGAGTCAGTGCGGAGTGGAAGAAGTAAGGATAATATTGATATTTGTGCATGCTTTAGCTTGCAGACGTTGACACGGCCTCTGTGTTTAGTTCTTATGTCCAAACACAGAAAGTAATATAACATAATTTGGTGGAAAAGAAAAGAGAAAGAGAGAGAGAACATAAATGAAGGCACTTGATCACACACACACATACTCACACAAAGTCCTCTTTTTATCTCGTGCAACAGGCAGGGTTAGGAAATGAGACGAGTGGTTTTTGTCTGAGAGGGCAAAGCAGAAAAAGGGATTTGTCTCCAAATGCAGCTGTGGCAACAGGCTCCCAGTGTGTGTGTGTGTGTGTGTGTGGCTAAATGAGATATTGAAACAGAGACATCCTCGCGTCTGTTCTTGACTGATGAGAGCTGAAAATAGGATTTGTCTTTGAAACAGAAGAGGACGGCTGTAAGCCAGTTAAGACGACTGAAGAGCCCATTTCACACTGAGGAAATGGAAGTCAGTGTGAAGCGTTTTGTCGACGGGGGCTTTTCTTTTTTTCTTTCGCTTTGACGATTACAGAGATTAAAAGGTGCAGATTTTAACGCGAGTGTTTCTCCGCAGCTTTCCAAAAAAAGAAAAACCCTCCAGAGCTGTACGACGAGATGTTAAACGTTGTTGTATCGTCAAACTTTAGATGTAGGAAGTAACAAAGTACAAATACTACGAGTTACTTTTCTACTTCTATTTCCTACATAATAATCTGTTTTCTACTTTCAAAACAGCCGTATTACTTTAGTTTTAATGCATTTGAGATTAATTGTTGATTATTTTGTCGACTCAACTTTGAATTAGTAAAACATATGTTTCATTAAAGGACCAGTGTGTAGGATTTAGTGGCTGAATACTGCTCGTCATCCAAGCATGTAGGAGAAACGGTGGTCGATGTAGAGAGTGGTTTGTCTGCGGTTGAATATGGCAGACTCTGTAGGTAAAACCAGCTCATTCTAAGGTAACAAAAACACAACGATTCTTATATTCAGGCGATTAAACACTAATATAAACATACCTGTGAATATTGTATTATATTTCTGTCAATACGTCCTTGTTAGTTATTTTCACTGTAAAACATCC